GCTTGTGGGCTGGGCCTGGCAGGTAGGCTTACCCCCAGCTCCCTCCTTTTTCCTTCTCCAGATTGCAAAGGAGGTGGCAAAGTTGCTGGAGATGAAGGCCCAGCTGGGGGGAGATGAAGGGAAACACAAGTTTGTGCTCAAGACCCCAAAGGTAACTTCTCCCAGCATCTAACTCTGTGTGCAGAACCTCAGCACAGACTGGCCTGTTTGTGTTCTCATTTCTGTTTCCCTCTTAGCAACAGGGGAGAGAAGGGTGAAAATACCCCTGACAGTGCCTGACGCAGAGACCCGACTGCCATAAAGACTTCCTGCTGCTTCTGTGACAAGCCAGTCACTAGCTGGTGCAGTCAGGAAACTAAATTCCCTTTTGGCCAAGCTTTATTAGAGCTGCCCAGTGTGAGAGGTCTCATATCTGCTGGAATTGCACTATCTGAAGTAAGGTCATGGCATTGCGCTGCTCTGTGAGTTTAGGGTTTAGGACTCTTCAGCTCTTGTAGTATGACCCTACTACAAGGGCCTGCAGGGACAGGCCAAGGGGAATGGCTTTAACCGGCCAGAGGGGAGATTGAGGTGAGCTCTTGGGCAGAAGCTCTTCCCTGTGAGGGTGCTGAGGCACTGGCACAGGGTGCCCAGAGAAGCTGTGGCTGCCCCCACCCCGTCCCGGTTCAAGGCCCGGGTGGGCAGGGCTTGGAGCAACCTGCTCTAGTGGAAGGTGTCCCTGCCCGTGGCAGCGGGTTGGAACTGGAGGAGCTTTAAGGTCCCTTCAGCCGAAACCAGACTGGGATAACACAGCCTATGAGTACCTGCGGACATTGGCTCTCCTGGACCAAGGGTCCTTAAGCTGCTCCTGTTCCTTGTAACCCGGACAGAGTGGATGGAGCTGCTGGGTTGGGTGAGCACAGAGTGCTGCAATGTGCAGCTCTGCTGGTGCCAGGCTTGTTGTTGGGGATTTGCAAAGCATAAGCCAGGCAAAGAAACAGTGGCAGTGTTTGCCAAGAGTGGTCAGTGTATGTTGAAATGGGGGGAACAAGAAAGGTTTTGTGATCTTTTTGATCTTGTCTTAGCTTGTGAGGATGGGTAATCCCATTTACCAGCTCCTGACATTTGTGTCCTCTTGCAGAATGACCCTTCCTTCAGCGATAGCTCTTCAGTCTCCAGGCCCCTGAGAATAGTGTCCAGAATGCAGTTTATGCTGGAATTGTTTGTAACCTGAATGTTTTCATCACTAGCATCTCACCAGAGACCAGCTGTGCATTGTGGAGACAGTTGTGAATGTTGTTCACAAACTAAACAGCTGATGTTAATGCCACTGACTTAAGAAATGTCTCAAAACTGTCTCCCTTGACCAATTCCTTTATATGTTTTGGTAAATGTAAGTGGTGTGAGGCCTGGAAGGGTATTTCACTGTTTAAAGATGTGGGGAGAGGATTCTGCAGCTCTGTGAGTGCCAGGGAAGCCTGGCGTGGGTTTCCACCTGCCTCGGCCATGCCAGTGTGCGGCTGGAAGCTGCTCTTCGCTGTGCGACCTGCAGGTAGGGTGTCAGGAAGCTCCAGCTCGCTGCTTCCTCCAGCGCCTGACTCCCAACCCCTGGAAAATGCAGGTGGGAGAGATCTGGTTTGTTAACAGTGATCTGTGTGTTTCTGAGAGCCCAAAAGTGGTCACTGAAATAATGTGGTGATTCTTAACAGCGAAGGAATTAAAAGGGAGCTCATCCCAGTGAACAGCAGATGGGCACTTCACAGGCATCACTCTTTAAGCGGATGATTTTTCTCTGTGTGTGTTCGGAAGCTGTGGAGCTGCTGGTTGTTCCATGGCTCCAAAGTATGCCTGCCCTGTGATTCCACCTCTCTCGGGGTGGCTGGTTTTGCAGGGGTCCAGATCAGAGCCATGGGCAGATCCGAGCTGTGCTGTCACAATCAAAAGACCCTCTACTGTTGGGTCTGTGTTAGCTTCTTTGTTTCCTGAAACATGAAACTCCTGACTTAGATTTAGCTCTGCAGAGTGTGGCAGATCGTGTCTGAGCTGTGTCCTCATGTTTTCCAGTGGTTTTTGGTGCTGCATTTTACCACCTCTCCCAACAGCTGATGTCTGAGCCTGATCTGTCTGGTTTTATCAGCAGTATGATAGCTTATTCATATTGCCTCTCACGTCTGCCTCCACTGTCTGCCTCTAACCCAGTGTGTCATTTACTCTCCTTTTCTTCCTCTAACCCCAGGGCACACGGGATTACAGCCCCAAGCAAATGGCCATTCGTGAGAGGGTCTTCAATGCAATCATCTCCTGCTTCAAGCGCCATGGAGCAGAAGTCATTGATACACCAGTGTTTGAGCTGAAGGTGAGTGAGGACACAGCAGGTTGCTGAGCTGATGAGGATCCTGCAGTTGAAAGCCTGTGATGTGTTGAGGGCTGAGTTTTATTCCTCCATCTCCAGGTGTCCTCCCTTTCTCTCCTTGTTTTCTGTGTGCTCTAGGGCTGGTCCCCTGTCACTGAAGATGCTGTTTGTTTGTATGTCCTTTTGTTGTAGGAGACATTGACAGGGAAATACGGAGAAGACTCGAAGCTCATCTACGATCTGAAAGATCAAGGAGGAGAGCTGCTGTCCCTGCGCTATGATCTGACAGTATCCTGCCACGGCCAGTGCTGAGGAGCCTCATCACATTTGCTGCCCTTCTTTTGGGGCTGTGTTGTGAGCAGGGGAGGGAGGAGTCTCTTGGTTCTGACCCCATCCTGGCAGGGACAGCCTGAGCAAGCAGTGTGGTTCAGTGGGTGCAGGAACCTTGCTTAGTTATTTGTTTCTTCACTTCAGTGAAGTAACACCTGTATATGGAGGTAAGGAAGACCTGTATGGAGCAGGGTTTCTCCTACAGCAGGGTACCGAGACTAGGCTGCTGCAGTACACAGCGCATGTGAGACTGGAATCCAACCTCAGGTGTTGCTGGAAGGTGCCTATAGGGGCACTTATGAGGGACATGGAGCTGTTGGAGTGAGGCCAGAGGAGGCCACGGAGCTGCTGCGAGGGCTGGAGCAGCTCTGCGCTGGGTCCAGGCTGAGAGAGCTGGGCTGGGTCAGCTGGAGAAGAGAAGGCTCCTGAAGGGGAGACCTTAGAAGAGCTCCAGTGCCTAAAGGGGCTCCAGGAGACCTGGAGAGGGGCTTTGGACAAGGGCCTGTAGGGACAGGCCAAGGGGAATGGCTTTAACCTGCCAGAGGGGAGATTGAGATGAGCTCTTAGGCAGAAGCTCTTCCCTGTGAGGGTGCTGAGGTGCTGGCACAGGGTGCCCAGAGAAGCTGTGGCT